AGGAGGCAGTTCGGGAGGTGAGGGGGGCAAGGGCGTCGAGTGTGGTGGAGAGGGTGCTGTGGAGAAGAGGAAGCGCACCGAGTGGATTGGTGCGAGAGGTTGGCCAGAAGGAAAGGAGTTCAGAGGACTCCAGTGCAGCAGAGAGGGATTGTGAAGGATCTTCTTCCATGGGCAATAGGAGATGGTGGTAGGTTTGGAGACAGTGGGGAGAGGTATATGGGCGTTGAGGGAGATGAAATGGTGGTCAGAGATGACCTTGTCAGTGATGATGACATCCGAGACTCTGAGATTGAGCAGGTGATCACCAGATTGCGCAGGTGACCATGGGTGTGGGAGCAGAGTGGATGTGGAGGGAGAGGTTGAGGTTGAGAGTGGTAGAGCAGGAGGGGATGAAATGGAGGTTGAAGTTGCTTAGGATGATGAGGCGGTCAGAGCAGAGGCCTCAGAGGGAAGCAAGGAGGTGGAGATATCAAAGATAAAGATGGGGGAGAATTTTGGGGGGCGGTAAATTAGGAGGATTTTTAGAGAGAGGTGGGAGGGATGGCAGAGGGTAAGGTGTTTGAAAGAGGGGAATGAGCCAGTGGAGTAGGAGGATAGGGCAAGTAACGCCCTGGATATGATGGCCATGACGCCGCCACGGCGGTTGGGGCGTGGGACATGGTGATAGTTGTAGCCGGGTGGTGTGGCCTCAGTGAGGGGGAAGGTGTCACCTGGGGTGATCCAGATTTCAGTGAGGGCTATAATGTCAATGTTTTCATCAAGGATGAGAGCATTGATGGCCAGGGTCTTGTTGCAGATGGAGCGGATGTTTTGAAGGCCAATGTGGAGTTATCAGGGGGATGGGCCTTTTGAGGGAGGGCCAGCTTGGGTCAGGGGCGGCAGCCAAGATGTGCATGCTGAGACGGGAGGCAGCAGGTTAGTGAGACATTGCCAGCCTGCAGGAGGCTGTGGGGGCGAGAGGTGGCGCAGAGGGGGGAGGGCACTCATTGTGGTTAGTCGTTGGTCTTTGGGTGTGACAAATACTGTGATGTCACTAGTGACTAGTGACGTTTCTACAGATGCCTCAGCGGAGGACGGCTTATCTCGGTCAGGCTTTAAACACTTGGCTAGACCTCGGCTCCTCCCCGCGCTGTCCACGATCCGTCCTCCGAATCAGCGTTATAATATAAACTAACTCCGAATATAACTACGTGTCACTTGACTAATGAGTTCTTCTACGATGACAGGTACTATCAATTGCTACTTAAATGAAAGCAAATTGGGCAGCTTACATTTTCTGTCTTTTTTATTCTATTATTTTATTGAGACTTCCAGAAGACGTGAAAAGCGCTATATCAAATGCAAGGATTATTATTACATTTTCTGTCTTTTTTCTATTATTTTATTATTTTATTGAGACTTCCAGAAGACGTGAAAAGCGCTATATCAAATGCAAGGATTACTATTATTATTATTATTATTATATTCTAAACAGACTGTGATGTAGGCTCAACCTGTCTGTGCATTCCCTCCTTTTTTGATTCATACAGAAAGCTTTAGAAAGCACGGTTAAGTCAAATCAATGGAATTTTATTGTAGTTTCGATGAAATCCACAACCCTTGGCATTCAATCTTAAATGACTCAATAAATATCAACAAACACAACTATGAAATAACAAACACCAATCACACTTAAACTAAACAGGTTAGCAGCTACTTGTAGTGAAGTTAATGTAAAGTGCACGAAAAACCAATTTCTGACTACTCATTAACAGTCAGGGCACGTACCTTTTGATGTCTTCGGATAGAAAATGGCAACTCTGAGCACATGGTGCTCGTTCCTTTATGGGCATTGAGCCCCTTCCTGAATTAGGGTACCCAATCGTAATCATAGTGCACCAATTACTTGATGTAATTGGTGTCTTTTTTATGGTCCAATCAAAATCACCCTTTAAGTGATCCAATACGGAAACAGCACACCTTCCTGTCCACTTATGCAAATTATAGATAGTCAGTTACCCCGCCAAACTGTTGCAATCAACACTAGAGTCAAACTTGATGGCATAGGATGTATCAGAAACAACTCTAAATACATAAAAGATGCATCCAAAGGGCTACTCAGCCTGGCCAATGCTTCCAGTGAACACATAAACCCTACAGAACACATTCTAAACAACAGACAGGCATAAAAAACAAAGGGGTGACCATAACAAGTTACACTTTATGTAATGGAAGATTTAACAGCATCAGTCCTAAAATCAACTTTCATAATCACGGTATAGGTAGTGGAGGTATTGGCCCCAACTTCAGGTTTTACCATCCCTGTATTATGAATAGATGAACTACTCCAATGCTCAGCTGTGACATAGGGGTAATGTAAAAGGGCCTCAAATACAGGACTTTGATTTTGCACATTATTGTGTTGTTAAAAAATGCATTGTTGGAGCTGCCATCCTTCAGATGAGATGTTAAACTGCAGTTCATTTGCCTGTTCAAGCAGAAGTTAAAGAACCCATGGTACGATTTGAAAAAGAAGGGAGTTTCTTATGGTATCCTGGCCAATAATTCCCTTTTTAAAATAGTCATTCACTCCACGGCTATTTGTAGGACATTGCTGTATGAAAATACACTGTGCTACACTTTGCATTGAAAATCCTATGAAACGTTTTTAAGGTGTTGCAACAATGCAATGAGCTGCTATAACAAATGGAAAGATTATTATCCTTATTCAGCATGTGGCAGTTGCACTGTTCCACTGGGCTGGGAGGTGTATTCACACTCCAAGAGCGCAAAGAAAATGTTGGCACAATCAAATTTTTGTCCCTGTCCCAATTTCCAAATTTGGCAGTGGTTCACTGTATCCATGTGGAGTTAGGTGGTGCCCATCAATTCAGCAGCACACATTGACCATATGGGCTTCAATTCCCTGAATATGCTGCCAGTCTGTAATGCCCAAAAAAAGGATCTGTGTGATGACTGCCAAATAGTAGGAGTCAAAACAGGAACCTTTCATCCTGAACTAGGCATATATTCCTTGTTTATTTTCATGAGGTAACTGACTGTACAACTTTTAGTGGTTACAGTTATTCCTTGAAACCATGGCTCAAAGCCCTTTTCAGCTTTCCCTATATTGTAGCTGAGTATTGGAGTCAATCTATTCATAATACAACAACAACAAGATTGCAATTGTATAGCGCCTTTCACGTCAGGAGGACGTCCCAAGGCACTGATAATACAGCCATTTGGTGCTCTCAACTTTGGCCACATTCTATGTGATGTATTTCATTCTGTAAAATCATCTCTAAAATATCACAACATGTAACCCTCAGGCACTTAATTATACTGATATTCAATGATTGGGTGGTTTAACTTCCTGCTAGCAGCAAGTCGAAATGTGGTAGCTCTGAAAAAAGGAGCATTTAACAGCTTACAAGCTCCTGATGTCACAAGACAGGGATTGAAGCAAATGGAATACAGAGCATCTCATTAAAGACAAGTTCTTTAAGAAGATCATTATAAGATGAAAGTTGTCAATGGCAGAGGTTAAGCAGAACAAAGTGCATGCCTAAAGAGCCAAACAGCTTTTTCTCATTTTATGTTCCACTAGAAAATATAAGGAAAATATAAATAAGGAAATCATAGCAGCATAGAATTTTACAGAATGGAAGGAGGCCATTCTGCCCATCATGCCTGTGCTCTGAAAGAGCTACTAACCTTTCAGGCAGTGCATTCCATACCATAACAATAAGAATTAATAAACAAATAACTCAACATTACATAAAGTAGTCACTAACTTTCAAAAGAAGATCCACCCACAAAAGGGAACACAATTCTAAGGCAATAATATTCCCTTAGAGAAATTTTGAACTGGAGTCCTTGATCTTCTTCCCAGGAACCCACTACACTTTTTCTAAAAGTCACAAGAGCTCTTCAAATCCTTACTGGCACAGGATTGAGCAATGGAGGAATGAGGACATTTTTAATATATATTTTCATGGGGTCAATTTCCACCCTATGGCACCATTTGTGCAATTTCTAAATCATAGCAAAAAAAACAGAAATAATGTTCAGTATGAAGTCTGCAATCTAATTCGGTAGAGTATTGTGCTGAGATTGGTTTCTCTCATAGTGTGACTGATGTAGACAGTGACAGAATATAAATTCAAAGAGGACCATTTCCTGCTTGTTGGAATTCAGTCCAACATTTCTTAAAGGTATGGCGTCCTCTATTTTTCCCTCAGTCCCTCTCCAAATTGGGTTAGGTTTATAATATATGAAAAGCTAAAAGGAGTTTGTAAGGTTTAGCAATACCACAGAGTTATCCAACGAATCCTGTAGGATACTGGAGGCCAGATAGACGGACTGTCTATTCCTGCTATTGTCTATTGAAATTGTTGCCAGGTTACTATGCACCAGTAATGCTAATGCAATTGGCACTTTCGTTTTCATCAACATATATACACACTCTCAGCATACAACCAAACCTTTTTACTAACTAAACAAAAAATAAAAGTTGCCCACTCTCAGCACTTTCCACTTCTCCAACCAGTGTCAATTAGCAGATTTAAAGGTATGGCGTCCTCAAATGCAAGAATTATTATTATTATTATTTGTGTTGTTGCTCTAACTTAAAGTACCATGGACAAGTTAATACACTGCTGTACAGATGCAACTGCTGATGCACATCTAATCATTGTAACTTGAAAGACGGCATGAAGCCCTAAACTGTATATACATTAGTCAGCTTCTAGAAATTGTTCAATATCTATAAAGACATAGTTTACAATCTCTAAGTGTCCATTTGCACTGATTTATTCTGAGTTTTTTCAATTTATTGACCAATTTATCAAACCCTTAAAGAAAGGAAAATTAAATTTTTTGGAATTTGCTATCAAAAAGAAACACCTAACTGTAAAAAAAAACACAAAAATACATCTTTGCTGGTTATGCAATCTTCATTTTGAGGGAGAAACAAAACACTAATCAACTATAACGTGTAATTCAGTTAAGTGTTGTCTTACCCATTAAGTCATTGCCCTCTATAGATCCAATGGAGTAATTGGCAGGACTGACAGGAGGCGTGGTATTAAAGCTGGCATATCCAGCAGATGAACTGACTTCTGACTGATCATACATATGTCTTGGCCTATATACCTCCAGCGAGGAAATCAGTGAAGTACGTTGTTTGGGCTGAACAAAAAAAAGAAAATGACAATAGTCATTAGTACATCTCCAAACCTTTCCTTTGAAATTTATCTGTAACTAATCTGGTAATAAATTCACATTACAAATACAATATAGTATGTGTGTTTTAACTGAGATTAACTGTGAAAGCACACAGCCTCTTTCCCTCCCATTTGTTCTCGATTTCCAAAAGAGCAAGAAGCCTGCTCCCAGATCACTGAAAATGTCATGCTTAGCTAATTGCGAGGAAGCACAGATCAAAGGGCAAATGGAGATTCCCCATTTGATGTACTCTTTCCCCTGGTGATAGCTTACCATCCATTCGACTCCTGTCTGCAGCTGAGATCAGGAACCCACTGGTTCTGGACAAAAGAACCTATTTCCCTCACTCACATGCCAATGCTCCAATATGCTGCACCCTGAAATGTCACAGTGCATGCTCATGATGCAATCATTGCACACTGCCAGAAGCATCACCACGGTGCACCACCTTGGTGCAACTACTATGGTGCACGACTCAGGGCCCTGAATGACATGCCAATGCCTCAATATGCATCATCACCATAGTCACTCTCATGGTGCATTACCACAGTGCACTATCACAGTATATTACCAGGTGCATTACCATTGTTCATAGTTTCGTAAAAATATTTCGAAAGATTTACTCCTTTATTTACTTATTTACTTAATAAAGTGGCTGGTGTTCTCTTAAATGTTGTTTCTGTTATGTTATTCAGGTGGTTTGAATGTGATCTTTCTTATTTCTGTTTTATGGATTTTTTAATTGCAACAACTTTGTGAGTCAGTATGTATTGATCGAAAACACTTCAGATTATTCAGATTGGTTTCTCATCAGTTTTTCAATAAACGTCTTAATGCTTACAGAAAGTAATTCAAATGTTGTTGTAACAGCAAAATGAAGAGGTAACCAACCATGCTAATCAAAGATTACAAGAAAAAACAAACAAATAAATAAAGCAGAAAGAGACCTGAACTCAGTGCAGCATGCTTAGCAGCACAATCCTCTGGTTGAATTAAGTAGTATTTTTCAGTCAACAAAAGATCCAAAACCTCAGAGGTGTGTTTGAAAAATTGTTTAATTCAAAGGGAAACCAAAAGCATTTTTTGTTAAAAAAAATTAGCTCTAAATAATTTCTTTCATCTTTCGCTTGTTAAATTTCCAGAGAATATTCAAAGAATTAATGGAAAATACATGTTGTAATTATATTTCTTCCCCAACTTGCCTGTAAATTCTAAACGGGGTTATTAAACAATGTACAACCTTTACAGTGTGAATAATAATAATAATAATAATAATCCTTGCATTTGATATAGCGCTTTTCACGTCGGGAGGACGTCCCAAAGCGCTTCACAGAACATACTGCAAAGTGAATTGACTGTATATTTGTGGGCGAACGCGGCAGCCAATTGCGCACAGCAATGTCCCACAAACAGTCGTAGATTGAAAATGACCAATTTATTATTGTTTTTGGTTTTAGGATGGATTATTATTAGGCGTGTGGAGTAAGGAAACTTGCCCAAGGTTTCGCCCTGCCTGGAATTGAACTCAGGTCTCTCACTTGCAAAGCGAGTGCTCTAACCACTGAGCTACAGGACTCCACACATATATAATGGAATATATGGCCATTACATTTAACAAGCTGGACTAATGCTGGACCATAGTGAGCGGGGGTCTGTCACTAAAGCTGCTGATGTTTCCACAGCCAACACCTGTTGCTGAAGTAATGATGTAATCAAATATCCCTCTTTAATTTTGATGGCATTATTATTCTTACAATAAACCAGGGGAAGTAAATCCATGTTGAGGATCTTTTGTTACATCAAATAGCCTGCCAAGCATTGCTGGTGAACAACAACAACATTATATTTGTCTAGCACCTTTCACGTTGGGACGATGTCCCAAGGCGCTGGATAGTATACAGCATTTCAGACAGCTCACAAGCACAATTGAAGATATGATGGCCACAATATGTGTTAGTTATTTTGTATGCAGCATCCACTTTGACATGTTCTGATTGGGTGTAATTGGCAATATTTTCAAAAAAGATTTATAAATATAAATCCCACAGATACAGAGGCACACCTCTCTGGAACTCCACTCAGATGCCAATGAGTTTTTACTTCCAGATTGTTCCCAAATTAAGCTCCTAGAATCTGGCAGGAACTCAGAATCAGAGTAGATTTCCATATCCTCTATTTACAAATCCTTCAAGAATATTGCAAATCAGGCTCCCCATACTGTATGGTATCATTGATTTAATGCGTACATGTAATTTGTATTGCATTTAACAATTTATAAGTTTGATGTTCAGCTATTTTTAGTGGGTCTTTCTGGAGTGTTAGAATCTGGTGCAATTCTGGTAATGCAATATGCTACACTCACATATCATGCACAAGAAATGGTCTTGAGCATTTCTGGAGGTGGTGCCATGATCAATCTGAGTCTGAAGCTTCATGGCAAGTTGTATAAAAATGATTAAAAGTTTTTTTTCGTAGAGATGAGTTTTTAAAGTTAAATGAATGAAATAAATTAATATTTTTCAGGATTCATCTTTACTACAAAGAATGCTTTTGCACTTAGAATTGCTTGGAACAAAATTGGGGTGTGAGCTAAACAGAATCCTTAGTATAAAGCTGTAAATTTGTACACATTTTTCCTGTAATTTTTGATATTTAAAATGTACAGTGGCGGCAACACGAAGACCCAGATGTTGGCCATGTTTTCGTGCAGGAAGCCAAAATGACCAACTTCCGACCAACAAATAAAACTCTTCATTTATTCAGGTACACATAACATGCCCTTGTGCAGTCACACTTTGCATTTATAACACATGAATAAAGCAAGATGTTCATTGTTCGATAGATTCCATCTATCTGTATTCCATCCCTTGAAAGTGAGCAAATGATATTTGGTTTGAATAAAAAAATGGGATTCAATTAAATGGATGTGATAGAATTTACCACAAAATGTACTGCAATACAACAACAACAATATTACATTTGTATGGCACCTTTCAATACAGCTGTACACCAGTTGTTTCATTTGCACCAAAGTAAAGCAGAGTGAGACTTGGATTGAATTCCCTCATTTCTATTAAGTTACCAATGCCAACTACACCGCTGAGCAGGTCCAGAGGCACTAAGCTCAATCTTAGTCTTAAAACCATTGGTTTAAAATTTATAATGGCATGGAATTTTGGTAAAAATTAAATTCAGTTTTAATTTGCAAACCAGTTTTCCAGATAACTGGTTTCCAAATTAAAATGACTAAGAATTTTTCAAAATAGCATGTTATAACATTGGTTGGTTTTAAGAATGCAACCTGGCTCAGTTGGAAGCACTCTTGACTCTAAACCAGAAGTGAGTTCAATCCCCACATCAGTAGTTTGAACTTGTTGCAATGATGGAGAGGACTTCACATTGTCAGAGATGCCATCTTTCAGACATGACATTAAACTGCTCAGGTGGATGCTAAAAATCCCATGGTACTACTGTATTCAAAAAGAGAAGTGTTTCTCTCTGTGTCTTGGCCAAAATCCTCGAAATAAAATTAGTGATTCACCTCACGGCTGTTTGTGGGACATTGCTGTGTGCAAATGCCTACAAAATACAGCCATTCTATTGTAAATCCTGTGAAACACTTTGAGATACCTTGATGATGTGATAAAGCACTTCACATAACACATGCAAGAAATTATTATTATTGCAACCATGACAAATATTGATCGTCAGCTGCTTTCCCTCACAATGTGAGGAAATCTTGAAGTGATTGTTATCTGGGAGATAACCTTGCACAGCTCCTATCACCTCTGATCAGCATTAAACGAGTCCTGTAAACAGATCATTCGACTGCGAGGACAGAGAGGAGAATATGGCCAAAACAATGTGGGATAACTTCACTCAAAACAAACCTGAAAAGTGGTATAGTGCAAGTGCTATTGTTTTGTATGTCAGCTTCATATCAGATATTTTGGAAAGGTTATATTTAGGTTATATTCTAAATATTAGAGTTCAAAACTGTGGGAAATTTGGTTTTTTCTTGTTCTTGATTTGAAAATGCAAAGGGAAATGTTAGCATTCTCACAAGTAAGATATTGATATCTATCTTTCTCTCCAGAACTCTCACAATCATTAATTCATTTTTAAACTACACAATAGCACAATTTATTTTTAAACTGCCCCAAAAAAATGTCTGGAAAAAAATTCCTAACTTTCCCGTTTCTCTCACAACTCAACTCCTACATATTTATCAGTAAGATAGAATCCATTTAAGACATTGCTCCTTTAACATTGTGTAATACACAAGAGACATACAAGTACAGCCTCTGCTAAATAACAGCGCTGCTCTGCTATCACCTTAAACTCTTTTGGAGGAGGCAGAAGAGATGCAAAAAGGGAAGGAAATCACAGGAGAACCGAAAGCTTTTCATGCTCCAGGCCAGAGGGAGCCTAAGGACATTTTGAAAGAAAGCTTGGTATGTGAAGGCTGAATCAAATTCAAAGAATGAGTAAAAACCATATTTACTGCAGGCAATCCAACATTCTTACACAATCTTTACATGCAAATAAATTGAACCAAAGTGAAACAGAAATCAGACAGGGGAATTACATGACTTAATTTTGATGACAGTGTGGAACACTGAGCACCAAAAGGCTCATCTTGCATCAAAACAATCATTAAGAAATGCAAATTATTCCATTAGCAATTAGTCAAGAAAAAGCAACAAAGACAACAATAAATTACATTTGTAAAGCGCTTTTCACGTTGCGAGGACATCCCAAGGTGCTGGACAGTCAGGGATTCGGACTCGAGCAGGAGGTTTGGATCAGGGGGTTGAAGGGCAGGGAGGGTAGGGGTAGAAGGGGGGTTGAAGGCACAGTCAAAAAGGAGAGTTTTGAGACGTGCCTTGAAGGAGGCAAGAAAGGGAGCAAGGCGAAGGGACTATGGTATGGAGTTCCAAAGGGTTGGGGCAGAACAGAAAGGC